GCGCTGGACGGAGAAAGAAGTGGAGGACAGTGCTGGAGCATGAGGAGAATATGTAAACACTGGCAATATTCAATTTGTACCCAGATATCCAGGGACCAATAAAAAAATAAATATTGGGGATTTAACTTATAACCAAAACCTTTTTTTTAAGCTTTGGATAGAGGAAGGATTAGCCTGTATAATAATTAGAACCTCTGCCTTTTTTTAAATTCCAGTTACACTAAGCGTCACCAAGGGGCTGAGCAAAACAAGTTGGGGGCATGGCTTCTGATGGATTGAGCTGAGGCTGCTAAGGTGTGTGGTTTTGGAATACTTTATTCTCTCCATAGAGTGACACAGTTCTAAAAAACTGAGGAGGGGACCTAGACTTCCCCTACTTTACTGGTAACAAATGTTATCTTTAAAGCAGAGTTCCACCTAAAAAAAAAATAAAATAAAAGTCAGCAGCTATAAAGACTGTAGCTGCTGATTTTTAAAATACAGCCACTTACCTGTCCCTCGGTCCAGCGGTGTCCTCACCACCGCTGGGTTCACCGGCCGTCTTCTCTCCCTGGCGCTGCGGCTTCACAGCCAGGTGCCCATTGCGCATGCGCAAGTAGCGCTGCACTTTGTGAATGGCCCCGTAGTCTTCTGGGACATGTCACATGTCAAAGAAGACTACAGGGGGAGAGAGGGGAGGAAGACAACTTCTGCATCTGTTCGCCTAGGCCAGTGGTCGGCAAGCCCCGGCTCGCGAGCCACATGCGGCTCTTTACACACTTTAATGCGGCTCTTCTGTGTGCCGGGCGCCCGCTCCCCTCCCTCCTCTCGGGCGGCCGCCCCAAAAGTCAGGACTCTGCAGCTAGCCCAGCAATGGGCAAACTACGGCCCGGCGGACCTTTTAATCCGGCTCGCGGAGCGTGGCAAACATTGGCTGTCAGGATGTAGGCGGGGCAGCGTGATGAACTCCTCTCCTCTCACAGTCCGCCCTGAAGACCGGAACGGCGCGGGAACACGGCGAGAGGAACGCGCGGAGCAAAGGTAAGTGAATTGACACAATATGGGGAATGAATTACTATAGGGGGGATGAATTACTATATGGGGGATGAATTACTATATGGGGGATGAATTACAATATGGGGGATTAATTACAATATGGGGGATGAATTACTATATGGGGGTGAATTACTATATGGGGGGTGAATTACTATATGGGGGATGAATTACTATATGGGGGGTGAATTACTATATGGGGGATTAATTACTATGGGGGATGAATTAATATATGGGGAATGAATTACTATATGGGGGATGAATTACTACATGGGGGATGTATTTTCAGTTTTAAAAATGTGGCTCTCAAAATAAATTTCAATCGTGGTTTTGGCGAGATTTGGCTCAGTTGAAAAAAAAGGTTGCCCACCACTGGCCTAGGCGATCGCAGCGGAAGCAGGTACCTGTCAAATTCGGGTACCCACTCCCCCCCGCTCCCCAAAGGTGCCAATCCTTAATGGGGAGCGGAGTACAAAGGCTTAAAGCAGAACTTCCCCTTTTGGGTGGAGCTCTGCTTTAATTGCAATGTGGCAGTAAGCAAGGGGAAATCTCTGTAACGGAGTCAATAATAGCAGTAAAATCTTTGCCCACACGATTCAACACTGAAAAAAGTTGCCTACATAAGCAATATAAAGTTTATTAAGATCTTTCAAGAACACGTGAAACAATCAACAAAAATGGCAAGGTCCGAGTCAACTACTAGCTATTAAAAGAAGAAAAAAAAAAAAAAATTTAAAAGCAGTTTGGATTTTTTTTTTAAACATAAATCTAAAATTATCAGCTACATTTGCAAGCCTGGGTCTTCAAAGCGGAGTTCCAACCAAAAGGGGAAGCCTTCACCCCCTGCTCCCCGTTAAGAATTGGCACCTTTGAGGAGCGTACCAGATTTTGACAGGTACCCGCTCCTCCTTTTGCTGCGATCACCAAGGTGATTGGAAGCCGAAGTTGTCCTCCCCGTAGTCTTCGGGGACATGTGACAGGTCGTAGAAGATTATGGGACCATTCAGAAAGCGCATGTGTAGTGGGCTCCTGGCTGTGAAGCTGCAAGCTGTCACACCCGGGTACCCACACTGAAGATGGGGAGGACACAGCAGGATTGAGGGACAGGTGAGTAGATGTTCTTTTGTAAAAGTAAGCAGCTACAGTTTTTGTAGCCGCTTTTATTTTTTATATTGTGACTGGAGCTCTGCTTTGAAGTGCTGTTAGGGAAAATGCAAATGTGTAAATCGGAACTTTAGTTAGAAAATGAAGTCCTGCCAGATCACTTCAGCTGGCCAATTTTGCAGGTTTAGCTATGTAATACATTAAAAATGAGTGCCTATAGTATACGGTTTAAAATCAAGTAATCTCCTGCCAGCCTAACGATTTACTGCTGCTCAGGGGCTGTGGGCCTCAGCAAAATGGCAACCTCCAGCAAGAAGAAACAGGAACAATGCTGGAGACAATTTACAGCACACACTAATTTTGGTGGCATAATTAATGTGGAATGTATGTTCCTTGCTAATGAACATTATTTAAGTCGTTAAGGGTAAAATTATGCTGTAAAGCAGAACTCTGGGCAAAAATATTTTTTTCACATGCAGTGAGGCTGTGCCCGCCCTGCACGAGTTAACTGCTCCTTTTTCTTCGAGGGGAAAGAACAGCAGTTTACTTACTTGAGCTGCCAATCCTCCCTGAACAAGGCCGGTCCGGCACCCTATGCTCCAGCAGTCTTGAAAATGGGCTGTTCCTGACATTACACAGGAACAGTCCACAGCTGGACGGTGGGGGAGCATGGTTTTCCAGAGGATCGGCAAATCAGGCGAGTATGAGCTTTCTGGTGACCCCCTAGAAAAAACGATAAGTTGACCTGTGCATTGTGGGCACAGCCCCACTGTATGGAAAAAAAAAAATGTGCCCACAGTTGGGCTTTAAATAAGCCATGGCTCTACAAACAAGGACAGCAAGAACTGGTGACCTTAGCACGCTTGACAAATTCTGGGAAGGAGCTGAGAGCTCTGTTCATACTGAGATGCCCCCAGAACTACATCTCCCTAGATCCCTTTCTTTACATACAGGATGTGGACAGGCTCTTGGGAGTCAAGACAAAAGCACTTTTTTTCTGGATAAAGACATCAATATATCCATATGGAATGGGACATGCATAGGGTGGGGCTATGTGCTGTAGTCCAGCAGATAGGACTGACAACGCTTGATATTCCAGTGCGGCAAGCAATTGTATTATCAGATCAAAGAGGAAGTTAGCAGACAGATTAGTTAAAATTAAACAGAATAGCAGCTACTTTTATGTACTTGCAGCATTTGTAAAGTATTAAAACATGGAGAAATGTGTACGTTTCCAAAATGGATCTACTAAATGGGTTTCATTTTCATTTTGCTCACACATATGCTTTAAGCCTGTTATAGGAATCTGCGGACTGACGATTAAGCTAGTTGGGTTCTATTCAAGGATATCAAAGTTAGGGTAGGACATAAAGTAGACTAAATGTTAGTGCAGTATAGCCTTTCAAAAGAATAGGGAGGGTGACATGTAGGAAAGTGTAGCTTTGTCTACCTAGTAATAATTAATCACATTCAACTGGATTTGTTCTGTAATGTTGAAGACATTTCATATCTTCTCCGAGTCACTTCTTCAGTTCTAAGAATTGTCAGCAAGATACCCCAACATTAAAGGGATATAAATACTGAAGTATGTTCCTCTCTTTGGAAGTGGTCTGGGGAAACTACAAAGGGGGAGATTTAGCAAAACTGGAGCACTCAGAATCTGGCGTAGCTGTGCGTGGGAGCCAATCAGCTTCTAACTTCAGCTTGTTCAATTAAAGTGGTTGTAAACCTCAGACATGAAACATGAACAAAGCATATCCCTTTATGATGTGTAGTTGTTTCAATTAAGGGCCTCCATTTCTGTTTTCAGCAAGAATCACTTCTGACAAGTTTTCCTGACAGTAAGAGAAAAAAATACTAACAGGGGAAGAAACCTCCAGAGACACAACCTGTGACTGACAGCCTCAGCTCTCTTCCGGAGTGCTATTTGGAGGGGTGTGTTTCTTTTCCCTCCAATCAGCTCTCAGAGCTGTTCTCACTGAGCTCTGCAGTGTGTAATGTCAGCTCTCCACCCCCTATTTTTCTGAACTCTCACACAAATAAAGTCTGGACTTTGAACAGATGTAGAGAAGAGAAGACTGCAGCTAGGCAGGTACAACGTATACAGGACGATTTGTTCAATCTCTGTGTATCACGTGAGGCCAGTCACTTCACTGGGGGGAGGAGGGGGTGTGTGTGTGTGTGTGGGGGTGTGTGTATAAATATATATATAAAAGGGTTTGCAACCACACTCTCAATCAACGTGGACTATTCTGAAGCGTTTGCTGCTAGCATTAGTAAATATATAGGAAAGTATATCATATTTACTTTGAAAGTTTTTTTTACATTTCTTTAGTTACTTCCTGGTTTCCATGCCTAGGCTAATGATGTCATACAGCCCAGGAGTCATCCGGGGGGGGGGGAGAAGGAGTTTTCTCGGCTAAGCACACTCTCCTGCCTGCATGCCAGAGCTAAGGGCAGATGGATTCCAGGAAGTAAATGAAACATGAATCATCTGCCCTTACTCAAGATAACCACGGCCAAAAATGCTAGGGGGGGGGGGGGGGGGGGGTTTCAAAGTGATATCTCAGCAAAATAAAGCATGGTCACATGGGTGGGGGAGTTTGCTTTGAATATTAAAAGTGAATTAAATAGTGTTTGTGGTTTGTAGTGCTCCGATGCAGTGTAGTTCTACTTTAAATTTGGCAATAAAATCTGGAAGGTGACTGGTTTTTATGCAGAATTGCACCAGATTTTGCTCTCTCCAGTTTTAGTAAATATCCCCCAAAAAGCCTTCAACAGAGAACAAGTCCAGTTGAACATGACCAACTACTGCTAGCTATACCATGACTTGGATAAATGAGAACCTTCAGATGTGGTTTTGTCTACGTTCCTCCTCTCCCTTTACCACCTCTTGTCCTGCCACTTTTATTTGTGAAATTCCGGACTGAGGTCGCAGAAGGTGAAGGTTCACCATCATACACTGGCTGCATTGTGGATGACAACGGTGTACCCTCTTGAGATGCAGCTTTTGAAGGACCTTCCAGGAACGGCCCAGAAGAATCAGACAACTGGTATAAAATACTCTTTAGAAGCTGGTTGTTCTCCTGCATGAGTGTCTCCTTCCTTTCAAAGTGTTTCTGTAATAGCTTCTGTTTTTCATCGTGATGTTTCTGTAGCAAACATAACTTTTCCATTCTGTACTGTCTATGGTCCTCCATGTCCTTTTGTTTCAGCCGAAGTTCTCTCGACCGTGCAATAGCTCGGACATGGTTGTTGACTTTGATGTTTTTAGTCAGTTGTTGGAGACCCACGCCTAGATGTAACAGGTCCATGTGTATAACATGCATCTGGTGCCTTTGGGATCGGTGATAGTTATGTTGGACTGAATGAAATGACCCCAACACTTTATTAATAGCTCCTGCGCTGGTTGCGTTTGGCTGGTGCCCCATAGTGTTTGTAGCAGGAGGAGGCTGGTGGGTAACGGGCGGAGGTTTGACAGGAAAGGAAAGTGGTTTGTTAGGAAGTGAAACTGGCTTAGTACCGGTGGGAGGAGGCTTGGTAACAGCTGGTGGATGCTTAGTGGGAACAAAAGAAGGATTGGCTGTATCGACAATTGACTTAGTAGAAACTGGTTGGTGTTGAGGAGGAACAGGAAGTTGAGAAGGAAAAGGGAGCTGTGTAGTGACCGGTACGGGTTGCAGGACAACGGGAAATGGTTGCGCAGGAGGTGGAACTGCATCAGCACTGTAATCGATAGGTTCTGTCTTCACCACCATCTCTTTTTCATCTTCCTCCTCTTCTTCTTCTGCCATGTCAACTAAACATAAGAAAACATATTCAGAAAACAATTCCACCAAATGGCATGATGCTGGGAAATATAAAAGATTATATTCTTTTATTTTTGAGCTATTATGTATTGGCTAATGTCATTTTCTTTCTTAACCACTTCAATACCCGGCACTTTCACCCCCTTCCTGCCCAGGCCAATTTTCAACGCTATCAAACTTTGAATGACAATTGCGTGGTCATGCAACTCTTTACTCATATGAATTTTTTAGCATTATTTTGAGACAGATAAAGCTTTATTTTGGTGGTATTTATTTACCGCTGGGATTTTTATATTTTTTGCTATATAAATGAAAAAGTCCAAAAATTTGGAAAAAAAAGTGTTTTTCTTATTAAAGTTTGCAAATAAATAATATTTCATCATAAATCTTGCCCAAAATATATTCAGTTATCTTTTTAGTAAAAAAAAATAACCCAAATTAGTTTATAATGAAAAATTCTAATTTAAAATTTATTTTTTTTTACATTTTTATTTTTTTTTTTTTATATTTATGTTTTTTTTTGTTCTACATACTGTCACCCTAGCAGTACAGTGTGACCATGGTGACACTGTACTAGAGGGGGGGGTGATGAAGATTTTTTTTTTTTAAACGGATTGCTTTTACACCCATAAAGGCTGTAAAAGCAATCATTTCTCATTCTCTGGCTGCATTCTTGCAGCCATTGAGAACTACTGTGTGAGCTGTGATTGTTGTGAATAGCCTTGTACCATGTGACCTCTGTGCTCATTCACAGATTTCACATGTAGTAAGCAATGATGTCAGAAGTGACATCTTGCTTACTACTATGCATGTCATCACTGATTGGCCAATCAGTGATCACATGATCGGGACCTCCGGTACGACGATCGGAGGACACAGCGGGCACTGGATCGCGGTGCTGCGCTCTCCTAGGGAGTTTACACAGTCCAGAATGGCGGGGCGCCATTTATGAACGGCAACCCGCCCCTGGACTGCCACCGTCTGGCCGTTTATATACAGCGGCCAGACAGAAAGTGGTTAAACATGAACCCTGGGCAAATTTTTTTTTTTTGTGCCATGCCCACACTGCACAGGCTAATTGCTCACTTTTTTTTTTTCTAGGGGACAGGAGAGCGTACATACACTTATCTGATCTGCTGATCCTTTCCGCACAAGATTGTTGCGGCACCCCTGTGCTCTGGCCATCTTGAAAATGGACTGTTCCTGACGTCAGCGTGACGCAGACAGGAGCAGTCCACAGCTGCACTATGGGGAAGCATAGTTTTCTGGAGGACTGACAGATCAGGTAAGTATAAACTTTGTGCTCACCCCTAAACAAAATGAGCTGTGGGCATAGTCAACTCCCTCTCTACTGGCACATTCCCATCCCCCCTAAAGTACGCGCACATCACCACCATACTCAAAAAACCCTCCCTGGACCCCACCGACCTGAACAACCTTAGACCTATTACCCTGCTGCCATTTACTTCCAAGCTCCTTGAGCGCTTAGTCTACAATCGCCTAAGCGCCCACCTCACTGACAACAACCTCCTCGATCCACTACAGTCTGGCTTCCGTCCCCCACACTCCACCGAAACCGCCCTACTCAAAATCACTAATGACCTGCTAACCGCCAAAGCTAATGGCCACTACTCAGTCCTCTTACTTCTCGACCTCTCCGCGGCCTTCGACACAGTTGACCACCCCCTCCTCCTTAATAAACTACACTCCCTTGGCATCAGAGATTCTGCTCTTTCCTGGCTCTCCTCCTACCTTTCCCAACGCTCCTTCAGCGTTACCTATAATGCTACCATCTCCCCCTCTCTGTTGGGGTCCCCCAAGGCTCTGTCCTTGGGCCCCTTCTCTTCTCCATCTACACCTCCTCCCTTGGCCAACTGATACATTCCCACAGCTTCAACTATCACCTCTACGCCGATAACATGCAAATTTACCTCTCCACCCCTCACCTCACCCCTTCAGTCTCCGCCCGTATCACCCACCTGCTGAAAGACATATCAGACTGGATGTCGCTCCATTTCCTCAAACTGAACCTTTCCAAAACCGAGCTCCTAATCTTCCCCCAGCCCGCGCCCCCCCCCCCCCACCCTCTCTATCACGACCAACAACGCCACCATCAGCCCCACCCCGCAAGCCAAAGTCCTAGGTGTCACTCTAGACTTAAACCTGTCCTTCCAACCCCATGTCCAATCGTTGGCAAACTCATGCAGACTCCACCTACGCAACATCTCCAAAATACGCTCGTTCCTAACCCCAGACACTACTAAACAACTCGTTCACTCCCTCATTATTTCAAGTCTGGACTACTGCAACTCCTTTCTCACCGGCCTACCCCAACACAGGCTATCCCCGCTTCAGTCTATCCTGAACTCAGCGGCCAGACTCATCCATCTTACCAACCGCTCCTCTTCTGCCACCCCCCTCTGTCATTCCCTCCACTGGCTCCACCCCCCTCTGTCATTCCCTCCACTGGGCTCCACCCCCCTCTGTCATTCCCTCCACTGGCTCCCGATTGCCCAACGCATTAATTTCAAACTACTAACATTGACGTACAAAGCCATTCATAACACTGCCCCAAACTACCTCACCGACCTGACACCCAAATACCACCCAACCCGTAATCTTCGCTCCTCACAAGACCTCCTACTTTCTAGCTCCCTGGTCTCCACCTCCCACACCCGACTGCAGGACTTCTCCAGGACTTCCCCCATCCTCTGGAACTCACTACCCCAATCCATCAGACTGTCACCTACCCTCCTCACATTTAGGCGCACCCTGAAAACCCATCTCTTCAGGGAAGCCTACCCCACCCTCCCCTAACAGCCAATCTCCTCCACTCCTCCCACCACTCCATCCCCCACAGCCACTTCCTCCTGTACCACTATCCCCTCCCTCCTAGATTGTAAGCTCGAAAGAGCAGGGCCCTCGAACCCCTCGTGTATAGTTTTGTTACTGTATTGTCTCATATACTGTCCCCCACTATAATGTACAATGCTAAGCAAACCTTTCTGGCGCTATATAAATACTGTATAATAATAATGGGAGGAAAAAAAAAATTGCCCGGAGTTGGGGTTTAAAGCACTGCTTCTCAAACCTTGATAAGATGCATACCACCATCACATGTCTGCAAAGTTCCAGTAGCACATGAGCTATGAAAGGAAAACTGTATTAAAACAGAGGGTGTCATTGCAGGCCTAATTCTGAACATGCTAGGTGTCTAGCTGTCTCTAGTTTTTTTCTACTTCAAAACCAAAACTATAGTACGATGCTTGTAGCATGTTACCCATTGCAAAATGCAGAAAGGTTGGAATATATGTGCTTTCAATGGTGAACGTATTAACCATTTTACTGCCACCGTTGTAGGCATATATCAGTGGCAGTAACACATTTTACACACACTCCCGACTGCAGTAGCTGTAGTAAGGTGTACTTGTCAAGTCAGCCATCAGCTTTCTGAATTCAGTGCAAACTTAAGACTTGCTCGGTACTTCTCCCTCCTATACTGAGCTAGCCTTCCATTCAAATATCCTTTATACTTTTGTTTTTCTTAGGTTGATTTTCATACTTTTCCACTGTGGCATCAACACACTGCTCCTAAATGTTCAGTCTGAAGTTGTCACAGAGGATTTGCAGAGTGTCCTATGCCACTTCTGGCTAACGCAAACACATCCAGGAATCCTACAAATCTCCCCAAAAATCCAAATAACTATCTCTTGGGAATAGGAGACAGGGCTGTGGGTGATAGCACTGACATAGTTACATATAGTTACATAGTTAGTCTGGCTGAAAAAAGACAAAAGACTATCTAGTTCAACCATTAAAAAAAAAAAAAAAAAAGTTATAATCCTATACCCACAGTTGATCCAGAGGAAGGCAAAAAAAGCCCAGCAAAGCGCGATCCAATTTGCTCCTGCAGGAGAAAAAAATTCCTTCCAGATCCCCTGAGAGGCAATCGGATATTCCCTGGATCAACTTTACCTATAAATGTTAGTATCCAGATATATTCTGTGTATCTAGGAAAGAATCCAGGACTTTTTTAAAGCAATCCACTGAGCTGGCCAGAACCAACTCTTGAGGGAGTCTATTCCACATTTTCACAGCTCTCACTGTGAAGAAACCTTTCCGTGTTTGGAGATTAAATCTCTTTTCCTCCAGACATGAGGAAACAAAACCCTGACTGGTCCTTTGCCTGAATTTTTTCTTCTTCTTAGGAACAGTTCTAGAGTTCAGTTCCTCCTTTAAGCGTGTATCTTTCCCATCCTAATGTTTAACAGAAAACCTTTAGACCCTGCTATATGTATTGTTCGTAGGCACATAGCTATCTGCATTAACTACGCCAGGTACCCCTACGTTGCAGGGTTTGAGTGGTTATACCAGGTTAATGCCTGCAGCTGCAAGCATCAACCCCGTATTTTCTTTCAGCCGGCGATGCTCCATATTGTAAAAGCAATCCTAGCGGCTAATTAGCCACTGGATTGCTTTTACAGATGGTGGAAGGGGGTCACCACCCCCTCTGGGTTCTCCCATCCCACTGGGGAGTCTGGAACTAAAGCCAGCAGTGCTGCCAGTTTACCACAGAGCTGATCAGAAATTGTATCTTCCAGTATCATTTGAATGGTATAATAAACCTGAAGCAAAAGTTTTTTGTCACTTCTGGTTTTAAGTCTCTGCTTACAAACCATTACTGGCTTGTGAAAGCATCGAACCAATCCAGATTTGATCTGATGCTTTGAAGGGCAGAGAAGAGATCTGGGGTCTAAATAGACCCCAGATGTTTCAGTAAACAGGACCTGCCATGCTTACTGCTATCACAAGGGAAGTTTAAAAAAAAAATTAAAAAATTTAAATAACCCCCTGTGTAAAGGCAACCGCATAAAGGGTGTTTGCACCACACGTGAGGTATCACCATGAATGTTATAACAAGAGAAATAATTCTAGCACCAGACCTCCTGTATAATCTAAGCTGGTAACCTATAGAGGATTTTAAAGCGTCGCCTAAGGAGATTTTTAGGTGGAGAAGTTTGTCGCCATTCCACAAGCGTGCGCAATTTTAACCATTTCAATACCGGGCCATTTTTCACTTTTCAGCGCTCTCACACTTTGAATGACAATTGCGCGGTCATACAACATTGTACCCAAACTAAAATTTTATCATTTTCTTCACACAACTAGAGCTTTCTTTTGGTGGTATTTAATCACCGCTGGGGTTTTTATTTTTTGCTAAATTAACAAAAAAAGACCAAAAATTAAAAAAAAAAAACAAACACGTTTTTCTTTGTTTCTGTTATAAAAGTTTGCAAATAAATAATTGTTCTTCATAAATTTAGGCCGAGATGTATTCTGCTACATGTCTTTGGTGAAAATAACCCAAATTAGGATGTATTATTTAGTTTGTAGGAAAGTTATAGAGTTCACAAACTATGGTATAGATCTGAAAATTGATTAATCCTGAAGTACTGACGGCCAATCTAATTTCTTGAGGTCCAAGAATGTCAGAATAGTACAGATATCCCCCAAATGACCCCTTTTTGCAGAGTAGACAGTCCGACGTACTTCATAAGAGGCATGGCGAGTTTTTTGAAGTTGTATTTTTTTTGTCATAATTTTTCGGAAAATGAAAAAATTTAAAAAATTTTTTTCACTATTTTTTTTTTTTACATACTGTCACCAGTGCAGTACAGCGTCATCATATAACTGGCATGGCGGTGAACATGGACACTGACTGGTGACAGTATCAAAAAAAAATTTTATTTTTTTTTTATTACATTTTTTTTTTAGAATTTTTTTTTCATATTTTACTATGACCAAAGTAGTACAATGTTACCATAGTAACATCGTACTACTTTGGGGTAGTGATCAGTATTTTTTTTTTTTTTTTTTACACAATTTGCTTATAGCAAAGAATTACTTTGCTATAAGCAAGCATTTACCTGAATGAAATTGATTCATTCAGGTTTTTTTTTTTTTTTTTTTTTTTTTGTGCTTAGCTGTGATTTGGTCACAGCTAATCACATGACATGTGCATGTGATTAGCTGTGACCATTCACAGCTAGGCACTAGTATACAATGGATGGCATGAATGAAGCCATCCATTGTATACAACTGTCATGTGACCTGCTGTGATTGGTCACAGCAGGTCACATGGTACCATCAACGGGGGCCGGTACTCAGATCTGTCATCGGCCGTGTCCGAGGTACACGGCCGGTGACATATCGCGCCGCTGCGCGGCTCTGCAGGAGTGCAAATTGCGCATGTGCGGGAGCACGCCAAATGGCGTGCACCCGGAATGCCGAAGCGCTTTTGCAGCCGCCAAATGGGCATTGGCCGGGTGGCAAATGGTTAAAGTGCAACATGTTAGGTATCTATTTACCCGGCGAAGCATCATCTTTTATTCCAACAAACAGTTGGGTATTATATTGTGTTTTTGTACCTGGCGAAGCATCATCTTTTATTCTACCAAACAGTTGGGTATTATATTGTGGTTTTGTGCATTAAAAATCATTGAAGTGTATTGTTTCCCAAAAAAAGTGAGTTTGAAGAACCGCTGCACAAATACTGTGGAACATAAAAAAATTAAGACACCTACCCATTTATTCTCTATGGCCTCTGCTTGAAAAAATATATATATCATGTTTTGGGTTTTTAAGTAATTTTCTAATGAAAATTTTTTTTACATTTGATTTTTAAACAAAACAAATGTCAGAATAGGCCTGCTCTTGAAGTGGTTAAGGGACAGGCATAGCTAATAAAGTGGCCACCGAGTAAATGTAAAACTCTCACCTTCCACATAATACTTACATGATGAATGGTTCCAGAAGTCTTCCCCGTCACAGGTGTCTTCAGGCTCAGATCTGCCTGTTGGAAGTTAAGAAAGACCTTATGAAGTAAGGTCAGTCAGTACGAAGGAATAACAACCACTTCACCCATTTCTACCTAAAGTCCCCTTTTAAAGGGAATAGATATAAGTGAAAAAAAAAAACAAAAAAAACAAAAAAAAACAAACAAAAAACAAAAGAACAAGAAAAAAAAAAAAAAAAATTCAGTAAGCTTTTGCAGAAGATAACTTTGTTCCTACTTAATATACAGCTCTTCTCCTACCTTCTTTTTTCTGCAAAATGGTTGCAGGAGATGAGAACCCCATTAGCGCTGGTTGGGGATGATTAATGATACCTGCAAAAAGTTAAAAAAACAAAAAACAAAAACAAACCAAAATGTTTTTTAACCACTTGACCTCCGGAAGGTTTTACCCCCATCATGATCAGACCATTTTGTTTGCCATTCAGCACTGCGCTACTTTAACTGGTAATTGCTTAGTCATGCAGCACTGTACCCAAATTAATTTTATATCTTTTTTCACACAAATAGAGCTTTCGTTTGGTGGTATTTGATCACCACTGGTTTTTTTTGTTTGTTAAACATAAAGAGACTTAAAGATGAGTTCCACCCAAAATGGGAAGTTCCCCTTTAATGCTTTGTCCCTTGCTCCCCATTAAGGATTGGCACCTTTGGTGAGCGGGTACCTGAATTTGACAGGTACCCGCTCCCACTTCCGCTGCGATCACTTAGGTCAGAGGTGGGCAACTGTGGCCCTCCAGCTGTTGGTGAACTACAAGTCCCATCATGCCTCTGCCTTTGGGAGATATGCTTGTAACTGTCAGTTTTGCTATGCCTCATGGGACTTGTAGTTCTACAACAGCTGGAGGGCCACAGTTGCCCATCCTAACCTAGGTGATCAGAAACGGAAGTTGTCCTCCCTCCCCGTAGTCTTCTGGGACACGTGACAGGTCCCAGAAGACTATGGGGCCATTCACAAAGCACAGTGCTCCTCACGCATGCGCAGTGGGCACCCGGCTGTGAAGCCACAAGCAGTCACAGCCGGGTGCCCACACTAAAGATGCCTGCGCCAAGGAGAGAAGACGGCCGGTAAAACCACCCATGCAGAGGACACCGCTGGACCGAGGGACAGGGAAGTGGCTGTATTTTAAAAGTCAGCAGCTGACTTTTTTTTCTTCAGCTGGAACTCCACTTTACAGGTTTTTTTTTTTTTTTTTAGGGGGGGGGGGATTTTTTCTACTTCCTATTATAAAACATATCCAATAAAAAAAATCTAAATTTCTTCAAAAATTTAGGCCAAAAACTTTATGCTACATGTCTTTGGAAAAAAAAAATCCCAATATGTGTATATTGATTGGTTTGTGTGACAGTTATAGTGTCTACAAACTAAGGTATATATACTGGAATTTTAAGCAGCTATGACACTATCCTGTTAATGACTGTGATAATGTGGCGGGCAATCTGGCGCTAGCTGATGCTGGCTGGGAGCTATACTAACGGACTGACATCAATAGTGACACAAATACAATGATCAGTGCCAATACTGTACACTGTCTCTGTACAAATGACACTGGCTGGGAAGAGGTTAACATCTAGGGGAAAAGTGTTAACTGCGTGCCTGTGTAATAGATGCCGCCTTTACATAAAGCAGAACAATACTCATCTCAGCTCCAGCGATGTGGCAACCCTGAGCTTGTCGCCCCGGCCGCTGACATCTTTGGGCGGCCAACTTCCGGGTCTCAGTTGCTGGCTGTTGTCTTTGGTTCAGTGGGGATAACATCACTCCCACGTCTTTGGTTAAGCGGGGATAAAATCACTCCCACGTCTTTGGTTAAGCGGGGATAAAATCACTCCCACGTCTTTGGTTAAGCGGGGATAAAATCACTCCCACGTCTTTGGTTAAGCGGGGATAAAATCACTCCCACGTCTTTGGTTAAGCGGGGATAAAATCACTCCCACGTCTTTGGTTAAGCGGGGATAAAATCACTCCCACGTCTTTGGTTAAGCGGGGATAAAATCACTCCCACGTCTTTGGTTAAGCGGGGATAAAATCACTCCCACGTCTTTGGTTAAGCGGGGATAAAATCACTCCCACGTCTTTGGTTAAGCGGGGATAAAATCACTCCCACGTCTTTGGTTAAGCGGGGATAACATCACTCCCACGTCTTTGGTTAAGCGGGGATAACATCACTCCCACGTCTTTGGTTAAGCGGGGATAACATCATCCCACGTCTTTGGTTAAGCGGGGATAACATCACTCCCACGTCTTTGGTTAAGCGGGGATAACATCACTCCCACGTCTTTGGTTAAGCGGGGATAACATCACTCCCACGTCTTTGGTTAAGCGGGGATAACATCACTCCCACGTCTTTGGTTAAGCGGGGATAACATCACTCCCACGTCTTTGGTTAAGCGGGGATAAAATCACTCCCGCGCATGCGCGCGAGTTCCTCGCTCAGATTCGGCACTGACGAATTTGTACAGTGTGCTGCGTGTGCGGGGTTCACTTTACAAGGGTGGACAGGCAGGTAAGTAGCTTTAATGGAGAAGAGACAAAGCATGTCTTTTCTGTATTAAAAATCCTGCCTGTCCGCCAACTTTATTTCACTAGCCTTGCGTTCCACTTTAACTGTCTGCTTTTTCTCACTGCTGCAGGGAGAAGAAACAGCCAGATTGCTGTTCACAATGCAGGGTTCTGTGTATTTGTAAACACAGAACTGTTTGTGTGTGGACACAGCCGATCAGCTGAATACAGCCAAAATCTTTGGCTGAAATCAGCTGCCAAACTCATGCTGTGTCCAATCACAGAACAGGTCAGCAGGGGGTGCGTGCATGCGCGCCCCAAACTTGGAAGAAAGGCTGTGACGTGCCAGTACGTCGATTGGCCTGAAGCTGTCGCCCGTTCCCAGTACAACTACTGTGGGTGGGCAGGAAGTGGTTCACGACGAGTCTGTTTAAGCCAGAAAAATGAATCCTTCAGTGAATCTACAGACTTCCTTCTTGCATGCAGTAAAAAGTTGCAACAAAATTTCAAAAGCACGTATCAGGTTTTTTTCACGACACAATAAAAAAGACAAGTTAGTAGCAAATAGAAACCATTCAAGCAGTAAAACTGGACTTACGTGGTTCCCGATCTGTGTCTACGTGGCCATCAATCGGTCGAACAGTATCTGGGCCAATGACGTGCATTAATTCTTCCTCATAGGACAGGTATTGTAACTCCAAGCCAGGAGCACCGCTGTTACGCTGAAAATACTTGCGCTGGTCGACCATCTTTGCCTTTACACGTCTTTTAACATCTCTTAGTCTCTTCTTGCAGTTTTCTGCACTTCGGGGTTGGGTTCCCGCTGCGTTGACTGCCTCTACAATCCTGGCCCACAGAAAGTTCTTACGGGCTTGAGAGGTAGTAGCTGCATTCTTGCCAATAATACTGTCCCACACGCCTACAGCTTCATGTACCAAAGCACAGTTTTCGTCGAAGGAAAATTTGATGTTACGGGGAGCTTTGGTGTAAGAGTAGTCACCCTGCCCATAACTAGCAACGCCTTGATCACCAGTGCTGCTTCCGTTTTGAACGCACACACTGCCCTTTTCTCCTGCCATGTCCATGTTGCCTAGGCTCTGAAGACCATGCTGTGGACTCCTGAGCATGTACTCCAGTTTGAACAGGTTGGCCACCTTGCTTTCCAATGGTGTCAACTGCATAAATAACGGGTGGCCATGTCCAGAACCGTGCTTTCGGACTGAGGCTAGTTTCTCCATTAGTCTATGCCTGTAAAGGTGCCAGTGTTTCTTGGCCTCCTCATGCCTCTCTGCACTACGCCAACTGAATTCACATTATTGAGGACCTTCTGCCAAATCAAAACTTTCTGTGAAAATGGGGTAATTCTGGCTCTTTCCCCAAAAAGTCTGTCGTAGTGTTCTAACAATTCAGTCACCAGAACAAATTCTTCTGAGGCTGAAAATCGAGGGCGTCTTCTCACTTCCTTATCGGTGATACTACTTGTAGTTCCCGTTTTCAGGTATCCTTCCCTGCTGGGTAGCACATCAACCTGTGGCTCTGTCAGAAGACAAATATATTAAAATTTACTTCACATACAGAAACTGGACACACTTCAACCGTTTGATCCCTGGAAGGTTTTACACCCTTCATGACAAGGCCATTTTTTGCTGTTTGGCACTGCACTACTTTAACTGGTAATTGTGCAGTCATGCAATGTTGGACTCAAATAAAATCTATATTTTTTTCCCACACAAATAGAGCTTTCTTTTGGTGATTTTTGATCATTATTATATAAAACAGAAAAAGACAAAAAATTCGGAAAAAACAAATTTTTATTACTCCGATAAAACATATCCAATAAAAAGCACTTAAAAAATAAAATTTCTTCATAAATTTAGGCCAAAAATTATGATATACAGTATATATTGTAATTTTTATTTTTTTCCCATACTACTAATGGCGGTGATCAGTGACTCATAATGGGACTGCGAAAGTGCAGCGGCCAACCTCACATTGTCTAAATGATGCTGACATCTCCAGTGACACCAATACAGTGATCAATGCTAATATAGACTATCATTGTACTAATGACACTGGCTGGGAAGGGGTTAACATTTAGGAGCAAACAAAGGGTTAAATGTGTGCCTGACAATGTTTACTGTGTACAAGGCTGTTTTACTAAGAAATGTGGCGGTTTTTACTCCCTGCAAAAAAAACCAAAACACTTAGACTTAGTGGCAACTTGTTTTCTAGTAGTCTTTCAGGACAGCACAAGGGCAGAGAAGGCCGGTTCCACCCCGGAACAAATTTGTAGAGCAGCGTCATGGTCAAGTATGTCCATCTTTGTGCGCCATTACAGACTGGATTTATCAGCTGGGGAGCAGGCCTTCAGTAGGCAGGTTCTGCAAGCTGTGGTCCCACCCTAAGGGGGCAAGCTCTCTTTTATCCTCATGTCCTGAAAGACGCTTGGAGAAAATTCAAGTTAGACTTACCGGCAACTTTTTTTTTTTTTAGTAGTCTTTCAGGACAGCAATAATTGCACGCTCTGATATTGTTTATGTTGTTGTGCTTATGTTTTTTACCTGGGCCGGAAGTACTCTTCAACAACTGAAGACTGTGGGGAGAGGCCTCCAGTTTAGAGACTGATGTGGGTGTGTTTCCTGCAGGAGGATGAGGAGCTGCGCTTCTTTCATGTGCTGTCCTGAAAGACGTTTTGAGAAAAACGGCTTATCGCTACTGTCTTTAGAAAGCCCTATGGTACTTACCAACACAGGGCTCTGTTCTGCCATTCACTGAGCCAATCAGAGGGCACCGGTCACAAATCATTGGCAGGGCTGATCGCTTGTGCTGTAACGAATGATAGTGCAGCTAGAGCAACGGGAGCGCACCTTCTACCCGGATCACAGACATGTAAGAGTGGATATAAAAAGTCTACACACCCCTGTTAAAATGTCAGGTTTCTGTGATGTAAAAAAATTAGACCAAGATAAACTCAGAACTTTTTTCACCTGTAATGTGACCTATAAACTGTACAACTCAGTTGAACAACAATCTGAAACCGTTTAGGTGAAGGGAAGTAAAAATAAAAAAACATAATATGGTTGCATAAGTGTGCACACCCTTACACTAATACTTTGTTGAAGCACCTTTTGATGTGATTCCAGCACTCAGTCTTTTTGGGTATGAGTATCTCAGCATGGCACATCATGACTTGGCAATATTTGCCCGCTCTTCCTTGCAAAAGCACTCCATATGTGTCAGATTGCGAGGGCATCTCCTGTGCACAGCCCTCTTAGATCACCCCACAGATTTTCCATCGCATTCGGGTCTGGACTCTGGTTGGGCCATTCCAAAACTTTAATCTTCTTCTGGTGAAGCCATTCCTTTGTTGATTTGGATGTATGCTTTAAGAAGGGTGGTGGACTGACCATTTGGAAACTCGGACACTGCCCGAGGGCCCAGGTTCAGTAGAGGGCCCCATGAGATGCCCCTGGTACCTTTTTCATAGGCTTTTTTGAGTTTGGGCAAGGACATAGGGGCCCCATGATCCCCTATTGCCCGGGGGCCCCATGAGTTGTCAGTCCGCCCCTGGTTTTAAGTCCTCATGCTGAAAGATTATGTTCCTCTTCATGTTCAGCTTTCTAGCAGAAGCCTGAAGGTTTTGTGCCAATATTGACTGGTATTTGGAACTGTTCATAATTCCCTCTACCTTGACTAAGGCCCCAGTTCCAGCTGAAGAAAAACAGCCCCAAAGCATGATACTGCCACCACCATGCTTCACTGTGGGTGTTGTGTTCTTTTGGTGATGTGCAGTGTTGTTTTTGCGCCAAACATATCTTTTGGAATTATGGCCAAAAAGTCCAACCTTGGTTTCATCAGACTAGGACACATTTTCCCACATCCTTTTGGGAGACTTCAGGTGTGTTTTTGGAAAATTTAGCCGAGCTTGGATGTTTTTTCTTCGCAAGAAAAGGCTTCCATCTTGCCACTCTACCCCATAGCCCAGACATATGAAGAATATGGGAGATTGTTGTCACATGGACCACACAGACAGTACTTGCCAGATATTCCTGTAGCTCCTTTAACCACTTCCATACCGGGCACTTTTACTCCCTTCCTGCCCAGGCCAATTTTCAGGTTTCATCGCTTTGAATGACAACTGCGCGGTCATGCAACATTGTACCCAAACTAAAATTTTATCATTTTGTTTACACAACTAGAGCTTTCTTTTGGTGGTATTTAATCACCACTGGGGTTATTTTTAGCTAAATTAACAAAAAAAGACCAAAAAGTTTGAAAAAAAAAAAAAACCCATACGTTTTTCTGTTATAAAAATCTGCAAATAAAAAATTGTTCTTTCTAAATTTAGGCCAAGATGTATTCTGTTACATGTCTTTGGTGAAAATAACCCAAATCAGTGTTTATTATTTAGTCTGTAGGAAAGTTATAGAGTTCACAAACTATGGGATATATCTGAAAATTGATCAATTCTGAAGTACTGACGGCCAATATAATTTCTGGAGGCCCAAAAATGTCAGAACAGAAATCCCCCAAATGACCCCTTTTTGCAGAGTAGACAGTCCGACGTACTTCATAAGAGGCATGGCGAGTTTTTTGAAGTTGTAATTTTTTTGTCATTTTTTGGAAAATGAAAAATTAAAAAAAAATGTTCACAATTTTTTTTTTTTACATACTGTCACCAGTGCAGTACAGTGTCATCATATAACTGGTGTGTGCTCAGGCGATGATCAGGGACACTTTTTAAACACAATTTGATTGCTTAAAGCAAATTATTTCTTTGCTATAAGCAAGCATTTAATTGAATGAAGTTGATTCATTCAGGGTTTTTTTGTTGTGATTAGCTGTGACTGGCCACGGCTAATCACATAACACAAATGGGCTGTGATTGGCCCAGCCTGTGCATGTGATTGCTGTGACCATTCACAGCTAGACACACTTGTATACAATGGATGGCATGAAAGGAAGCCATCCATTGTATACAACTGTCATTTGACCTGCTGTGATTGGTCACAGCAGGTCACATGGTACTGACAACGGGCCGGTACACAGATTTGTCATCGGCCGTGTCCAAGGTACGCGGCCGGTGACAGATCTCGCCACAGCGCGATCCGGGAAGGACGTCATATGACGCCCTCCCAGAGTGATGAAGTGTTCGCCCGGCCGTCATTTGACCATAGGCTGGGTGGCCCCTTGGCAGCCTCCCAGACCAGTTATCTTTTCATCAATTTTGGAGGGACGTCCAGTTCTTGGAAGTGTCACTGTCGCGCCATATTTTCTCCACTTGATGATGACTGTCTTCACTGTGTTCCATGGTATATTTAATGCCTTGGAAATTCTTTTCTACCCTTCTCCTGACTGATACCTTTTAACAATGAAATCCCTCTGATGCTCTAAGAAAACGTCAGGAAAGACCTACTAGAACAGCTGCACTTTATTTGGGGTAATCAGAAGCACTTTAACCACTTGCCCTCCTGAGGATTTACCCCCCTTAATGACCAGGCCTCTTTTTGCTACTCGGTGCTGCACTAATTCAACTGATAATTGCGCGGTCATGCAATGCTGCACCCAAACGAAATTCACGTCCTTTTTTTCACACAAATAGAGCTTTCTTTCGGTGGTATTTGATCTGTGCGCTTTTTATTTTTCACGCTATAAACAAAAAAAAGGCCAAAAATTTTGAAGAAAAACAATATTTTTTATTTTCAGCTATAAAAAATATATAGTAAACTCAAAGTTGGTTATAAATTTAGGCCAAAATGTATTCTGCTCCATGTTTTTGGTAAAAAAAATCCCAATAAGTGTATATTGATTGCTTTTTGTGGAAGTTATAGCGTCTACAAACTATGGTATAAATACTGCAATTTACGCCATTTTTCTGCTACACAGAGCTGCGCTAGTTTAACGGACAATTGCGCGGTCATGCAATATGGTACAGAAATGAAATTTACATCCTTGTTTTCCCCACAAATTGAGCTTTCTTTCGGTGGTATTTGATCGCCTGTGTGGTTTTTATTTTTTGCGCTATAAAAAAAAAAAAGGCTGACAATTTTGAGGAAAAAAAAACAATATTTTGGACTTTTTGCTGTAAAACATGTCCAGTAAAAAAAAAAATGCAAAAATCAAATTTAGTCATAAATTTCTGCCAAAATGTATTCTGCAACATGTCTTTGCTAAAAAAAAAAACCCCAGTACGTGTAAATTAATTGGTTTACGTGAAAGTTATAGCGTTTACAAATGGCGGGAAAGATACTGGGATTTTTAGTGTTTTTTTTATACTGATAATGGTGCCGATCAGCGAATTATGGCGCCGATCAGGGACTTATGGCAGCAACCAGCGACTTATGGCGGGACTGCGGCGGACATTCTGACATTGGGGGGTACTGACTTGGGATCACTGACATCCCCAAAAACACTAATACAGTGATCAGTGCAAAAAAAAAAAAAAAAAAAAAAAAAAAACTGACACTGTATTAATGGCAATGGGGAGGAAGGGGTTAACCTTATTTTGCAGGGAAGGGTTATAGGAGTGAGGGGAGTGTTTTACTAGGGGGCGGGGGTGTGTGCTGGGCGGGACAAGGCTGATCGAGAGAGAGAAAACACTGTTCTTTCTCGATCAGCTCATCCTCGAGCTGTCAGGGAAGTGACAGACAGCACAGCTACTGCAGCTGTGCTCACTGTCACTGTTTGCCGCCGATCGCCGGGACATAGCCGCTAAGGAGCGGCTGTGACCCGGCGACTCACATCTGCGGCAGAGAACCGCGGGACAAATAGGGCGGCGGCGCCTCGCGCGCGCTCCCTATTTGTTTACAAAACACACATCTTAAAACGTGGTTTTGCCTGTGAGTGCCGCCCTGCCGCCGTATATGTACAGTGGCTGGGCGGCATGCGGTTAAATGATGGCAGGTGTGTACTGACTCCTATTTAACATGTTTTTGAACGTGATTGCTAAATTCTGAACACAGCTACATCCCCAGTTATAAGAGGGTGTGCACACTTATGCAACCACATTATTTTAGTGTTTTATGTTTACTCCCCTAAAAGATTTCAGTTTGTTTTTCAATTGCGTTGTACAGTTTATAAAGTCACATTAAAGGTGGAAAAAGTTCTGAAATTATTTATCTTTGTCTCTTTTTTTTACATCAGATAAACCTGACATTTTAACAGGGGTGTGTAGACTTTTTATATCCACTGTACGTGAGTTGGCGCAGGGCAGCTGCTCTGCTGCAGCATATCTGTGGTAGATGGTTGCCATCTGGTTAAAGCAGGCTTGCTTAATCGGGTTCCTCTAGAGGCTGCATTCATTGAGCAATGACAAATTGATCTCCCACCTACAATGACTAGGGGGAGGTTGGGGTGGAAGCCAAGGAAGAGATGTCAAAGTCACAGGAAGAGAGGGGACAAAGACAAAGGCTTAAAAGCCTTGGACCTAAACTCACACCACTCCCCAGTTTGTTTCTTGCAAATGTGCAATCCCTGGAGGGAAAGATGGAGGAGCTACAAATTTGCATTATCCAGCAGAGTAACTTGGGAGAGTGTTGTGCCTTTATTTTCAGAGACTTGGCTTCACAGTGGTATACCTGTCCCTCCCTCCTAGATTGTAAGCTCCAAGGAGCAGGGCCCTCGAACCCCTCGTGTATCGCACTATATTGTTATTGTACTGTCTCATGTATTGTCCCCCATTGTAATGTACAGCGCTGAGCGAACTGTTGGCGCTATACAAATACTGTATAATAATAATAATAATAATAAGGCGGTGACCCCGGAGGGGAGATTTTTGTTTAGATCTGATAGGACACAAACAGAGCATAAGAGGGGAGGGAAGCTGTGCTTTTTTGTACATCATGCATGGTGTCAAAATGCAGTCAAGGAGGATTTGCAATGTACACCAGATGTGTAGCTCTTGTTGGCTAACTGTCGCCCCTTTTATCTGCACAGGGAATTTGCTCCAGTTATTTTTGTGGTATATATTCCGCATGATGCAAATTGTAATGTGGCAGGGGGGTTGGGTTGGTTGATGGAATGTAGGTTTTTGGCTTTCCTTCCACTTTAATGTCTTGGGCACACAGGAAGTGAGCGGAAACGTGCAGTATCATTCATCACTGGTACTGGATAGCCGTGCAGCGAGTCTGTGGAGGCCAGCTATGGAGATAAGTTAATGATTGCTTCTTCAATTCTCTTAAGTCGTGAAGATTTTTTTTTTTTTTTTTAACATCTAAAAGTTGGGCTTTAAAATGCACCGCAAAAAAAATGTGTATTTGAAGAGCAATGTATAAACCACATTTTTAGAAAGTTTACAGCAAGCTTCAATAACTTTTCTGTAAAGCATGTTTCAGCACCAGTCTGAACACAATCCTTCATGGAAGTAACAGCTGTCCCTTAAACAAGTGTTTGAAGTCTTCAATAGTGGTGCACCAAAATTAAAATTCTGGTGCCGATACCGAAAATTCAAAATGCACATGCATGTGGCCGAAAACTGAACCGAAAATGTCTTCGTATGTGGGGTCGGGGAGGCTCTAATTATTTTTCTGTATGTTTTTTTTTAATTTTCATGTATATATCTTTTTTTTTTTTTAACTTATGATTTTTATTGCTACCACATAGGGGTCCAATAGTCCCTTATGTGATAGCATATATGTGACAGGTCATCTTTGTAGGGGGGAGGCAGTGGGAGAGCAGTGTGTGCAAGGAGGGGGCAGGAGAGCAGCAGTGTATACAGTGAGAGAGCAGTGTATACAGAGAGGCTCCCTCACTGGTTGTCATTTTATTTACTAAAGCTGGAGAGTGCAAAATCAGACTCACTTCTGCATAGAAACCAATCAGCTTCCAGGTTTCATTGCCAAAGCTTCATTGAACAAGCTGAGGTTAGAAGCTGATTGGTTTCTATGCAGAAGGGAGTCTGATTTTGGACTCTCCAGCTTTAGTAAATAAACCCCTATATGTCAGTGCCTGATTTTAAATGGAATTATCTGCTTTTTTTTTTTCTTCACTACAGCTCAGAGCACGAGCTGTCACTTTCCCCCCAGCTAAAAGGAAACTAAGGGGTGGGGTCACTGGGTAACCCTGCCCCTATGTTTCTTTTAGCTCTGGGGAAAGTGACAGCTCATTCTCTGAGCTATAGCGAAGAAAAAAAAAAAGCCGACAATTGCATTTAAAAACAATGCCTTTTTAAATGTAATTACTGGCTTTTTTCCCCTTCGGTCATTCTCGGAGGAATAAAAGAAACAAAAAGGCGGAGTCACTCAGTGACATTACCCAGTGATCCCGCCCCTTAGTTTCTTTTAGCTCTGGGGAAAGTGACAGCTCATTCTCTGAGCTATAGTGAAGAAAAAAAATCCGACAAATTTAAAAACAATGCCTTTTTAAATGTAATTACTGGCTTTTTTCCCCTTCAGTCATTCTCGGAGGAATTAAAGAAACAAAAAGGCGGAGTCACTCAGTGGACATTACCCAGTGATCCCGCCCCTTAGTTTCTTTTAGCTCTGGGGAAAGTGACAGCTCATTCTCTGAGCTATAGTGACGAAAAAAAAAAAAAAAGCCAGGTAGTTACATTTAAAAACCCGGCACTGACATATAGGCACCAGTCACTGTATACACTGCTCCTCTCTGCCTTTCTACGCCCCCCCCATCTCACATCTGCAATACACACAGTCCCCTATATTGGCACCTGTACCGGCTAAATTTTTCCTATCGCCAAAATGCCGATAGGGCTGTTTCGGCGGCAGAAATTTCGGTGCATCCCTAGTCTTTAATGGGCTTTCAGCAAGTTGCAGCACTTCTAGAAGCCTGTGTGATTTAGACCTTCGACACACTTCTATGTACCTGCCTTCAGTTTAGAATCCACAGAACACTGCAAATTTAACTCCATTTGTACATACCTTTTGCTTCTGAGTCATCATCAGTTGTCATTTCAGCTTCATCAACTCGCTTAATCCAAAGCAAAGTGTCCGGGTTATATATCAAATCCCCTGAAGAATGTAAGATTGAATAAGAGATGAAGATTTTTTTTTCTATTACTATTATATAAAAAAAGGAAAAAACTTCTGACTGCCTAAGTTAACAATGAATTTATGAAGGAAACATGTTACAATAGCATATTAATACATCATCATTTTTGTTCAATGCTAAAGACTAAGAACAGCCAGCTAAGAAATGTATTTTATTTTTGTTTGGAATGTGTTTTTGAAACTGTTTACTATACAGAGCAGTCCTAGTAACACCCACAAGTAATGCTGAGCCTCCATAATTGAAAGAACTGAAATCCAACGAATAAAAGGAGAAGGCCAGAGACAGTCAGGCTGGGGAGGAATAAGCTACACGTCTTCCAGACAGAAAATGAGGCGGGCTCTGTCTGGCTTGCTGCAGCTTCTAGTGCACATTGTGAGAAGCTCACAGCGTGCAGTGAAATCAGAGTAATTTCAGTCCAGGAGAGGAGACTGTACAACTGTGCAAGACTGAAGGGAAGGTCAGAGTCCAGCTTTATGTTTGGAATGAACATCAGCTATACATGTTACTTTAGAGCAGGGGTGTCAAACTGGTGGCCCTCCAGCTGTTGGTGAACTACAAGTCCCATCATGCCTCTGCCTTTGGGAGTCATGCTTGTAACGGTCAATCTTGCAACGCCTCAGGGTACTTCTAGTTTGGCAACAGCTTGAGGGCCGCCAGTTTGACACCTGTGCTTTAGAGCATGTAACTAAAAGTTTCTTAGCTCTGGTTCCCACTGGTGTGATTTGTCATGCAATTTGACAGTTTCAAATCGCATGACAAGTCACACTCTATTGTCGGCAATGGAACCGAATGGAATCAACTAGATGCAACTCCGACTTTGCGGTGCCACAACAATTTGAAGAAAAGGTTCCTGCACTATTTTTTTGCTATTTCAGGTGTGGCTAGTATAGACATCTGTGCATGAAGTTGCACAGATGTCTGCCAAGTCCCACTGACATGAGACTTTGAAATCGGTTTCAAAGTCGGATCCAGTGTGAACCAGGGCTTACAGCTTAAAATGTGTTTTATGGCCAAGTATGACTAGAATAGGACTTATGGACTCTTAATTGCTTTATTAATGTGATTTACTAAACATAAAACAACCTGCTAATGATACCTTGCATCTTGTCTCCCTCCTCCCTCACAGATCCATATGAATTGCTGGAATCTTCAGTTTTGATATGGTCAAAGACATCAGAGTAAGTAGACAGCTCTAAAAACACAAAACCATGATGATGAATAGAGAAACTGGCTATGAGATACAACAAATATCTCTTTGCACAGAAGCTCAAGATTTATTGACAGAGCTTTGCAAACCAATGGACTAAGGCAGGGGTCCTCAAACTTTTTAAACAGGGGGCTAGTTCACTGTCCCTCAGACAGTTGGAGGGCCGGACTATAGTTTAAAAAAAAAAACAAAACTATGAACAAATGCGGACACAGTACAGGAGATGACCAGAGACTGCGGACACAGTACAGGAGATGACCAGAGACTGCGGACACAGTACAGGAGATGACCAGAGACTGACTGCGGACACAGTACAGGAGATGACCAGAGACTGCGGAAACAGTACAGGAGATGACCAGAGACTGCGGACATACAACGGCAGCAGGAATACTGGGCCGGCCGCTCTATAAGACGCACAGACATTTCCCCCCAAGTGTGTTTTTTGGAGCGAAAATATACGGTAAATGCAGGTACACCTTGTTGGGTCAGATCTGTGTACAATGTAAAAAGAGAGAGAGGGGGGGGGGAGGGATAAGGAGAGAGAGAGAGGAGGAGGGGGGAGAGGAGAGAGAGAGGGAGGAGAGGGGGGAGGAGAGAGAGAGGAGGGGGGAGGGAGAGAGGAGGGGGGAGGGAGAGGAGGGGGGGAGAGAGAGAGAGAGGAGGGGGGGGTGAGAGCGAGAGAGAGGGGGGGCGTGAGAGGGGGAGGGGGGGAGGGGGGAGCGAGAGAGAGAGAGAGAGGAGGAGGGGAGGAGAGAGAGAGGGGGGGGGAGAGAGAGAGAGAGAGGGGAAGATAGAGGGAGGAGATTGATCATCTATTGCACTTATCTAGCGTCCGTGGCCGTGATACCCGACATGCAGCGATGGAGTCTCCTCTCTTGCTCCCCCTCTTCATGGTCAGCTCTAGGCTCCGCCCTCCTGCACTCATCAGAATAGATGGCCGGCTATGGCTGCAGAGAGGCCAGGTGAGTGGTGCGGGTTCATAAGCCGAGCCCACCTTCCCCTGTTCTAGAATTGCTGATCCCGCCCTCCTGCCTCCCACCCGAGCCCTACCGAGCTCTCCCGACCTGCCAAACCCTAGTCCCTTGCCTCGCGGCAGATACGCCCCTGCCCGGCGGGCCGGATAAATGTCCTTGGCGGGCCGCATGTGGCCCGCGGGCCGTAGTTTGAGGACCCCTGGACTAAGGGTTAAGTAAAGGATGTTAAAAAAAAGTGGCAACCACCCCAACCTATAATAAGCCTTTGCAGTAAGGTGTACATGGAAGGGCAACGCACACCTCCAACAAGAACGAATTTCCCAGAACACTTACCAGCTAGCATCCAAAAAAAACCGAGTTCACCCAGTTTCACAACTTACATTAAAAACAGAGGATTTTGTTTGCACACATTTGCAAATATATGAGTAAGCTGCACCGCCTACATCAAGGCTCCTGTGTACTGCGGTCCTAACTCTAATCTCCCAAGTTGGAACACATACAGTGCGCTTTGACAAAATATTCATACCCCTTGAAATTTCCACATTTTGTCATGTCGCAACAAAAAAAGTCAATGTATTTTATTGGGATTTGATGTGATAGACCAACACAAAGTGGCACATAATTGTGAAGTGGAAGGAAAATGAGAAATGGTTTTCAAACTTTTTTACAAATAAATATCAGAAAAGTGTGGTGTGCATTTGTATTCAGCCCCCTTTATGTTGATACCCCAAGTAAAATCTAGTGGAACAATTGCAATTCCGCCTCTGATCATCCCCTGTATCCTGTCCGCAGCCTCTGATCATCCCCTGTATCCTGTCCGCAGCCTCTGATCTGACCATCTCTCTGTATCATGTCCGCAGCCTCTGACCATCTCCTGTATCCTGTCCGCAGCCTCTGACCCTGTATCTCTCCTGTATCCTGTCCGCAGCCTTGTATCATGTCTGCAGTCTCTCTCTGACCATCTCCTGTATCCTGTCCGCAGTCTCTGACCATCTCCTGTATCCTGTCCGCAGCCTCTGACCATCTCCTGTATCCTGTCCGCAGCCTCTGACCATCTCCTGTATCCTGTCCGCAGCCTCTGACCATCTGACTCTTGTATCCTGTCCGCAGTCTCTGACCATCTCTTGTATCATGTCCGCAGTCTCTGACCATCTCTTGTATCATGTCCGCAGCCTCTGACCATCTCTTGTATCATGTCCGCAGTCTCTGACCATCTCCTGTATCCTGTCCGCAGTCTCTGACCATCTCCTGTATCCTGTCTGCAGTCTCTGACAATCTCCTGTATCCTGTCCGCAGTCTCTGACCATCTCTTGTATCATGTCCGCAGTCTCTGACAATCTCCTGTATCATCTCCGCAGTCTCTGACAATCTCTTGTATCATGTCCGCAGTCTCTGACCAACTCCTGAGGTGGAGCTCTAATAGGAAGAGGTGGAGTCTAAAATCTTAAACAGGAAGGGGTGGGACAAATTTAGACGGGGGCAATTTTAGTCTTGCCCAGGGCAGCACAAAACCAAAATACACACTGCAATGACAGGTTGTGGGCAACTTCAGATATTCATGGCTGTTCGTACAGCCAGTGAATGCAGCCTAAGGGTGTGCATCTAGCTGTACTCACGGGATTGTAGTGAGCATATGTAACTTTGGTTCTTACCTTGACCAGAGTTCTCCGTGTAAGAGGAATCCATGTCTTCTTCCTCTTTAATTCTTGGGAAAAGGTGTGGATTCGCTGACATGCAACCTGAAAAACAGATATATGCTGGTTTTACTTTCGATTTATTTAAAAGGGGCTGATTTTTAATTTTCTTTTAGAAATGTGAAAAAGAACAGGTCTGTCTGAAAAACTCCACTTCAACCTGGAGCTATTCCCCATAGAACTTTCCTCCAGCCAAAAATTCTCCCCAATCTTCTATGTTGAATGATGCTGAGCTTTCTTCTACCTGGAAGAATGGGGACAACCTGTGAACATATGGAGTTCTAGGCCCGCCCCCCTAAGGTAGTCACACTTGCCTGCATTCAGTGTGTAAGGCTGACCGGGTCAGTACTTAATGAAGGCAGACAAGGTTGGAGAAGAGGACCCTATGACAAAAATAACATAAAAATACTGCCCAGGTACCCTCCAAGGGGGAGGCTCAAGTCTGGAGTTGGGCTTTAAAATGGGGTTAAACCCAAATCCAAAAATGTAATCTATTGCAGCTTACCAATCAGTTGCTGCTTTATTTTTCTTTTTAAGCTTATTTTCCCTCTGTTTTCACCTGGTGATCTGGCCATTGACATCCCCTGTATTAGAGTGCCTCCGCTCTGGATGAAGGAGCACAGTGGGCACCTTTGGACAGCAGCGGGGGGGTTTGTTATATGTACTAGCAGATGTAGACTATTAAATTGAAGCCAAACTCCAGCTAATACTTTAGAATCAGTTACAGCAGTTTTTTTTTTTTCATAAGGGGCAAAAGGTTTTACATTATTAAATAAAAGCTAATCATTGTAAGCACCCCTGCCAGGGGTAAATGGTTTGTCTCATCCTTGTAACTGCTACATTTACAGGACAACTTGTTCTTTTGGGAAAGAAAGACTTACTGGCTGGATCCAGGAGAAAATAGAAAAAAAACGAAAGCAGCCATCCCGCCGATCACCGCCGCAGATGGCAGTCGCCGGGTCACAGCTGGTCCTTACCGGCTATGTTCCGGCGATCGGCGGCAAACAGTGACTGTGACAGACAGCACAGCTGCAGTAGCTGTGCTGTCTGTCACTTCCCTGTCAGCTCGAGGATGAACTGATCGAGAAAGAACAGTTTCTCTTTCTCGATCAGCCTTGTCCCCCGCCCAGTACACACCCCCGCACCCTAGTAAAACACTCCCCTCACTCCTATAACCCTTCCCTGCAAAATAAAGTTAACCCCTTCCTCCCCATTGCCATTAGTAACAGTGTCAGTGTTTTTTTTTTTTTTTTGCACTGATCACTGTATTAGTGTTTTTGGGGATGTCAGTGACCCCAAGTAAGTACCCCCCAATGTCAGAATGTCCGCCCGCAGTCCCGCCATAAGTCGCTGCCATAAGTCCCTGATCGCCGCCATAATTCGCTGATCGCCGCCATTATTAGTATATAAAAAAAACTAAAAATCCCAGTATCTTTCCCGCCATTTGTAAACGCTATAACTTTCACATAAACCAATTAATTTACACGTATTGGGATTTTATGTAGCAAAGACATGTCCGCAGAATGCATTTTGGCAGAAATTTATGACTAAATTTGATTTTTTGCATTTTTTTTTACTGGACATGTTTTATAGCAAAAAGTCCAAAATATTGTTTTTTTTTTTCCTCAAAATTGTCAGCCTTTTTTTTATAGCGCAAAAAATAAACACCGGACAGGCAATCAAATACCACCAAAAAAAAAAGGGGAATTTGTGGGGAAAAAAGGATGTAAATTTCATTTATGTACCGTATTGCATGACCGCGCAATTGTCCGTTAAAACTAGCGCAGCGCTGTATAGCAGAAAAATGGCGTAAAATTGCAGTATTTATACCATAGTTTGTAGACGCTATAACTTCCACACAAAGCAATCAATATATACTTATTGGGATTTTTTTTTACCAAAAACATGGAGCAGAATACATTTTGACCTAAATTTATAACCAACTTTGAGTTTACTATATATTTTTTATAGCTGAAAGTAAAAAATATTGTTTTTCTTCAAAATTTTTAGCCTTTTTTTGTTTATAGCTGTGAAAAATAAAAAGCGCACAGGTGATCAAATACCACCGAAAAGAAAGCTCTATTTGTGTGAACAAAAGGACGTAAATTTCGTTTGGGTGCAGCATTGCATGACCGCGCAATTATCAGTTGAATTAGTGCAGCGCCGAGTAGCAAAAAGAGGCGTGGTCATTAAGGGGGGTAAATCCTCAGGAGGGCAAGTGGTTAAGCCTGGAGTTAGATTTTTACAGTGACATAAATCTCCCACTAATGATCTTGTGTAAAAGAAAAAAAAAAAAAGGCTTTAGTATTACTTTAAAGTGGCTCTAAAGGCTGAAGGTTTTTTACCTTCATGCATTCTATGCATGAAGGGAAAACACCTTCTGTGTTCTCTCCTGAGCCCCCTCCCAATCCAGCGATGTCCACAAGAGCCTCGGCTTTCTGGGGACTCCCACTACTGCTCACTAAGGCGGCAGCAGTAGGAGCCATTGGCCTCAGTGGTGTATTTAGGTATTGTGCTGCCCTAGGCAACACAAAAATTGGACGCCTCCCCAACCGACAGAACCTTCCACTAACAACCCCCCCCCCCCCCGCCCCGGCAACTCTGGCCATCCCCAGGAAACAACAGCTGGGCTCTGCATACACCATCAAGCAGCCTCTCTCGGATCTCAGCTGGTCTCCATGCTGCTTATGTCCCTTCTTCTTGCCCCCCTAAAAAAATGCCGCCCTAGGCAAATGCCTTGTGGTAAATACGCGCCTGGATTGGATATATTGAATATTGTCAATCACAGCCAGTGTGCCAAACAGGAGAGGGAGGTGGCAGGGCCAAGCTGCAGCTGTGTGTGTGAATGAGCTCAGCAGGAGGGAGGGGCCAGGAGCGCCGGCGGGGGGAGCTGAGAATCGGAGCATCGGGGCTGCTCTGTGCAAAACCACTGCATTGCACAGAGCAGGTAAGTATACCATGTTTGTTTTTTAAACAGATTTACCACTTTATGCCTTACCCCTTCATAATTATGGGTAAAAAAAAAAACCTTAAAACACCTAGACCCAATTTTGGAACTTTGATGTATTAGTAAAAAACTGTACATATCATCACACCCTCATAGTATATCCAATGGAACTTTACCTTTTTTTTTTTTTTTTAAGGACAAATTAGGATTTCATTTGGTGATAATGATGATTTTTTTTTTATTTATTTTTAAATTGCCAAAGGAAATCTGGCCCAAAATAGTAAACAAATATATATATATATTTTTAAATTAGCTGTATATATTTTTTACCCAAAATAATTCTCGTGCTTCTGGCGGTTGCAGCGATACACATATGTATGTTATTTGTACCTGTAGAACAGCTCAGAAACAATAGAGCACATTTTGCTTTTTTTTCATCCTAATTTTTTTTTTTTAAATCCTACCCAAAAACAAACTGACCCTGACCTTTGACCCTTACACAAACCCTGACACTGATTAGATCAAACCATCTATTTTTTTTTTTCCTTAACGTTTTTCATTTTTTTTTGTCTCTCCCAATTTTTTTTTTCACATTTTTGTTTGCATCTTTCGCTCGTGCAAGGATATTATATATATAAATACATACACATAAATGTATCTTTCTCTCCATTCAGAAGAAAAAAATAAAATAAAACCCACACACACTGGCGGGCTGTACAGTGACTGATCCCAGTGAGTGTCAGAGGCTATTACAGCGACCAGGTGACCGGGAACCAGGAGTCCCAAGTCCCGATAAATCCTCATACACACTTTGCTGAATCAGTCGAGATTCAAACCATCTATGGCCAGCTCAAGGCCTCATGCACACAGGGCGTTTTTGCAGCCACTTTTAGGGGCGTCAGGCATTTTTTTTTCTTTTTTTTTTTTATTGCTTCCAAACATCCCTCTGTTATCCTATGTGTCCATACACATATAGACTTTTAGTCCTCATGCACACTTCACATTTTTACAGCGGCTGTTTTGGCTTTTGATGTTTTTTTCTACAGCCAGTAAACCAACCCCAGCATGTTCTCCCTATGTGTCCATCCCCAGCATGTTCTCCGTGTGTCCATCCCCGGCGTGTTCTGCCGTGTGTCCATCCCCGCCGTGTTCCCCGGCTGTTCTGCGTGTGTCCCATCCCCCGGCGTGTTCTGCCGTGTGTCCATCCCCGGCGTGTTCTGCCGTGTGTCCATCCCCGGCGTGTTCTGCCGTGTGTGTCCATCCCCGGCGTGTTCTGCCGTGTGTCCATCCCCGGCGTGTTCTGCCGTGTGTCCATCCCGGCGTGTGTTCTGCCGTGTGTCCATCCCCGGCGTGTTCTGCCGTGTGTCCATCCCCGGCGTGTTCTGCTGCGTGTGTGTCCATCCCCGGCGTGTTCTCCCGTGTGTCCATCCCCCGGCGTGTTCTCCCGTGTGTCCATCCCTGCCGTGTTCTCCTATGTGTCCATCCCCGCCGTGTTCTCCTATGTGTCCATCCCCGCCGTGTTCTCTATGTGTCCATCCCCGCCGTGTTCTCCTATGTGTCCATCCCCGCCGTGTTCTCCTATGTGTCCATCCCCGCCGTGTTTCTCCTATGTGTTCATCCCCGCCGTGTTTCTCTATGTGTCCATGCACACAGACTGGAATCAACGTTTTTGGGCTGGAAAAAAAAACCCAAAGGCTAGTGGGCTTCTAGGAGTGTTTTAGCTATAAAAACACTCTAATGGTGAAAAACATGGCAAATAGTGGCAAACTGGCGTTTTTGGACTTTTTTGACCCAAAATAATAATATTTTTTTTTGGGGGGGGGTAAGAAAAAAAAAAAAACGCGGCGCAAAAAGCTAATGCAAAAAACGCACGTTTTTAACGTGACTTTACACAGCTAATGTTACCAGCGTTATTAAAACGCCCCGTGTATTGGTAAGAGCCCAGCCTCTGTGCAGGGGAGCACGCTATGCAGTGCCCTTCCAGCACAAACACAGGAACACATATAGGTGTCATCATAGGGTCAAGCAAAAATTGAAATACTTTGCTTTACATTATTATTACTACGCAGGCTTACCTGAAAAATAGTCCCAGA